TGTGGGCGTGGCCATGAAAATGTATTTTCAGTTCTCTAACTCAAAAACTGAGGACGATATAGCCATTTAAAACATTTCCTACCACCCAAATTTGGTGACTGTAGCTTAAACTTGAGGGAGATATGTGGCTTTATAGATATGTGGCACTTTGTCTGACGCGAACACAGACCAGTATGTGTTCCATGGTTCAAGTCTCTATCTATAAGGGTGCGTTCATACAGACGGACAGACAGCACGACGGACATTGCACAAATGATCATCAAATCAAAGTATAAATAGAAGGAAACAGACTGCGTTATTTTTGGAATATAAATATTTTTCACAATCCAAAAAGCATAATAATTAAATGCAATAAGCTGAATTAAACTGAGTTGAGCAAATGTTCCAAAAAATACAAAAAAACTTAAGCCGAATTAGACTTTGAAATCTTATCACATCAAATTGATTGCCTCTTAGGTGACCCCAACTTTTGCTAACTATGCACAGACAACTGGTGTATGTGTTTGTGATGAACTAAACTGGCTTAAACCGGCACATTCATATACATACATATATGTTAGTATCGTTGTGTGCTTTAAATGGTATTTAGGCAAAGTTTACAGGCTTATCAAGTTTATTGAATTTGCTGCGTTTGTTTTATTTGGCATAACAAGTATGTATCATTTATGGATGTTAGCAGTAATTATATACAGTATTGCGCAAGATGGAACAGTATAAAAGTGCAACAATAATATTAAAATTAATTTGCATTTCATTAAATGTATGCTGCAAATTGTCGCACGAGCAGCAGGATATAAGCAGCTTTGACATATGACGGCAAATGGATGTTATACGTACACACAAATAGAAATAGAAATACATATACAAATACAAGCACATACACAAGTACACAAATATAACTACTAAGTTCGAGGATGCCACATGAGCCCCAGCCACACAAAATAGAAGCATATCAGGCCCAGAGCAGTAACATGAATAACACAGCAAAAACTCTGAGCGCGTGGGGAGTGAAAAAAATGGGTGTGTTGCTGGAATTGGGAGTTAAGGTGGTGGCGGGTGGTGGCTGGTGTCTGGTGGCGGCGGGTGGTTTCGTGGAGCCGCCAGGGCGATTACAAAAACATCAACACTTAATATGTTTATTAAATTTGTTGCTACATCATTAGGCACTAGCAGCCTTATAATGCGGCACAAACACTTTGGTAATCGCAAACACACACAATTGTATGGGAGGAAGTGTGTGTGTATGTGTGTGTGTGTGTGTATGTGTGTGTGTGTGTGTGTGTGTGTGCTGTTTCTGTGTGTGCTGTTGCGTTAATACCCTACGCCTCATAAAACGTCTACTGAGGTAATTCAAACTTTGCGCAAATGCATGTTACACTTGCCAGCAGCAAAAGGTGCCATAAACGATATAAGTACATATAGTAAACATACATTAACACATACATGTAGCATACAGCATATGTACATATGTATATATAATATAACACACTTAAATGCATAAGCACATACTTTGCATAGCACTGAATACCTTAATCGGCTTCAGCTCCATTATAAACACTGAGAAATTGAATAACAGCCTTGAAAATAGCAACAATAGCAACAAAATGATAAAAGGCAGACAGACAATTACCATTATTAGTTATTATAAATAAGAAATGTAGAAGTTGAATTTGATTTTCATCGCTAATAATTTATTCATTATTCTTTTCACTATTTGTTACCTTATTTATATATATAACAATTTCAAAGCTAACAATGCTTACGATTACACTACAAAGCTTCTAATTTATTGGATTGATATTCAGAATCAATACTTTTATAACATAAGAATCGATTTGCCAGACTAAATCTTTGAGCTGCCCGCCTCGAATATAGGGCAACCAAAAGTCAGCCAAACTGAATTGGCTGTTTTGGTAAGCAAAGGCAATGCCCTGCAAAAAGTGCTCGAACACACAATTGCACATTACCACTCGGTGTATGTATGTATGTATGTGTGTGTGTGTGTGTGTGTTTGTGTGTGGGTGTGTGGGAGTGTGAGTGTGTATTCGTGCTTTAGGCCACTTTGCTGGGGCTTGAGGATTGTTGTTTAGATGCAGTTACATTTTAGAGCAATGCAGCTGCACTCGTTCGACCGTTCAAATATACTCATATGAGTATATGCAAGTATGAGTGTGTGTTCAAATATACTCATGCGTGTGTTCGCAAACATGAGTACGAGCAAAACTCTCAGTTTGAGTAGGGCGGGACTTGTGCTTTAAAAATTTGCATTGCCTACTTCTGCTTGTTGAGGTGCGTTGGAGGAAAAATGTGTGTGTGTTTGTGTGTGTTTGTGTGTGGGCTTATTCACGTTACGGTAACAAGGGCGTAAAGTTTGCAGCGACTATAAAGATGCAGCAACAAAAACTGTTTATTGTTTCCTGCAGAAAAGTTATGCGCTTTATTAAAAACAATATAAGTAAGAATGCTGTAATCGAGTGAGCTCACTACGATATAGTTAAATATTTTATAGTGTTATTGCCAAATATTCCCTCAAATTTTTGCACACTCAAATGTAAGCAGGACTGCAAACTAGAGATTACAAAAAAATAAAGGCATCGCATATTATTATTCAAAAGCCCGAACTGAAATCACCGACAAACGCGTGCATATACATACATACATACTTACACACATATGTACATACATACATACACGCACACACAAAAACATAATTATATACGCAACGATTATCTTGCCATCCCTTTCTCACACATGCGCTTCATTTGAGAATACATTTTCGATAATACCTACTCTATTTCGGTTTGTAGGCAATCACTTTCTAACACCACCAATTTTATATATATATATATATATATATATATATATATATATATATATATATATATATATATATATTTATTTTCATACATTTTTGTTTTCACTGGAAGCATTCAGAATCTTCTGAATTTTGCTGATCAAGCAGAAGCAGCCGAGCATGATCAGCAGTGCCTGGTCATAATCTGTAGTACAGTGCTGGTGACGAACACCGGTGGCCCCCAATTGGCCAACCGTTGCCACAATGCTATCAATAAAGAAGAGCACTGCTGTCGTTGCCAAATTGAATGTAAATTTATAGTAAAAAGTGTTGCATAAAACGTGTTGCATCATTCACGTTGAGCTCACTGTAATTCGCAACTGGTTCTTGCTTCGAGAATATGTTATGACTCTTGTTGACCTGCGTCATTAGGTCTTTCGAAGTACCGTTAGACCTTAAATTCACAATCCACGAAATACTGATAAATGGTCCAATTTGCATGCAGTCGAAAATAATTTGTTTGCACAGTGACCTTGCGGCCAGTAACACCCGTTTTTGTCTCCATTGGTTTGGGACGTGAATGGACCACATCGGTGCTGGAAGCGATTTTTGACGCCTGAGCAGATTGGCCCCCAACGGATTTCGTCTATTACCTCGTCCACGTCCACGAGAATGTTCCGAGTTTGCTGGTCAAATAAGTCATAACTCTCTTGGTGACAAGGGAACTATTTTTTAAGCATGATGTTTCAATAAATTGAAATTATAAATTGAAAGAAGAAACAAGTGTTTTATTGTCATCAGGATTTGTACTTCTACTTTCTAGGCCAAGCCAATCTAATTTTGAGAAAAATGTTTTCTCATCGTTAGAAATGATTTCCAGAACCAAGAAGTATGTTCTAATTATGAGGCGATTTCTTTTTTGCTGAGTGGAGATTCAACTTGTAACTTGTAACTTACATTCAGGTGGTCCTGGGTGCGCGCCTTCATATCTTCCTGACCGCCGTACAGGCGATCGTATATCACGTTATCCGCACCCTTGCAGTAGAGCACCACGGATTCGGAGCGTCGCAGGATGACGGAAATGCGTTTGCGCACATTGTTGAAATGGGTATTTCCCATCAGCTCTTCATGAAATCCAGTTGATCAAAAATATATCACATATTTCAATTGGATTTATTATTATTATTACTAGGAGGGAAAAACTGCACCGCGACCTATTAGATCTAATGTGCCCCCTTCTGAGCTTATAGCTCTTCCATCAGCCCCAACTCCCGCACGAATACGAGGATCTTTGTTGGGTTGAGGTCTTCTATGTCTTTGCACTTCAAAACATGCGCCCCTAGAAGGCTGCTTCTTCTTCTAGCTAAGGCGACACACTCTGCCAGGATGTGTATCGTGGATTCCTCCTCTCTTTCACAAAACCTGCACAGGTCGCTACTATATATACCCAGTTTTGCCAGGTGACTCCTTAGTCTACAGTGTCCTGTCAATAGACCGGTGAGTATCCTAAGGCTGTTCTTTCCCATGGTTATAATTTGTTTAAATCGTACAAGATTATAACCACCTAGGAAACATCTGGCTTGTCGGAGTCCCACTGCCTCCGACCACCTCTGATGCCGTCTTTGCCTTTCCTCGTTTCTAAGTTCCAGTCGTATCGTATAGTGTGTCTCCCTATGCCACAATACGGTTCTGGTCCTGTTAGGGGCCTTCCTGCCCCCATTCTTGCTTGCTTGTCAGCCGCCTCGTTTCCCGCTATGTCCCTGTGGCCCGGGACCCATCGTAGGGTGAGCCTGTTATGAGTCCCGAGTAGGTCTAGCTTTGAACGAACTTCATGGACTACCTTCGATGTTATCTTGGCCTGTGCCCTGATTCGTGAGTGATCCGTCGGTGTACCATTTTATGGTGTGCGGTTTCATGGGATGGACCTCATCCAGAGTTGTCCATTCCCTTTTATTGCTCATACAAACTGTGAAATTTCGCTCGAATATGTATTCGGAGATGATTCCTTCTGCATATTACATACTTGTGCACAAAACTATTACACTCTCTTTGCCCATTTTCTATGGGTTCAAGGTATAAAAGAAGTAAAGCGATTCTCGTGTAAATTGTAGTGCTTATATGTATATTCTTTACTATGATAATACTTCATCAATTTCACGGAAAATACCTGTTGACGTATTCGACTTTTCAAATGCCTTTCTTGCAGGCAGCCCAAACGAGTCAACACACTTAATGGGGTCGCAACCACGGACAATAAAGTCGATCGAAAGAAACCACCAAGTTGAGAGTAACACTGCCACCGACACCGCCATCGCCATTGCCAACTGGACAGCATTTATCACGCCCGCAAGCTATTACGACCGCGAAGAGGCTGTAACAATCTCGCGACCACCGCGGAGCGGACGATACGAGCGGCAAGCGGAGGAGGATCAGGTGGATCGTTGCAGGCTATTCGTGGATGGGGATCCCACCAAGAATGAGCTCTATAGCCCCGAGTATCCCAATTTGTATCCCAAGAACATAAACTGCACTCGAGTGATAACAGGTAAATTAAATGCTTCACCATGAATAAATGCAAAGCCAAAATATAACTGAATCAAAATAAAATTAAATTCTCTACACAGTATATATAGTATATATTCTTGATACCTGCACAACAAACGAGTCGATCAACACATGCCAGTCTGAGTGAAATGAGTGAAATTTTAGGGAAAACTAGAATCTCTTTTGTACTTGACTTTAACAGCAAGTTACAGGGTATATCCCAGTCGGTCACTCTCGCATTAAACCTACTTATACTTGCCTAATTTTGTGATTACACGGTAAATTTATATTATTGTTTTACATAAAAGATAATCAGCGGTGACACTGAAAACTCCTCCAACCAAATTCCAATCCAATAAAATTTACATTCAACCGACAAAACTGTCGAATGCAGTTTAAATTAATGCAATGGAAACTAATATCCGCAGAACACTTTTCACAAATTTGTTTTAAATGCAATTTATGTTGATATTTATTGATCTTTTTAATACGAACTTTTTTTGTGTATGTATGTGTGTGTGTGTGTGTGTGTGTGTGTGTGAGTGTATTATCAGTCAGCAAGTAAAGAGAGTCTGTGGCAGCAATTGCATTGTCATTATACTGAAAAGAAACAAATACCAAGTCGAAAAATGCCGCAACATGAGTTGGTGCTGCAGGCAATTGCATTGCTGGCATTGTGATTGCCTTACGCAAGCCAACTTCCTGAGCATTGGACAACTCTGGTCGTGGTGGTAGTGTGGTGTGTATGTGATGAGTGTGATGAGTGGGTAGTTATGTTGGTTGGGTTGGGTTGGGTGGTTGATGTCAGTGTAATCCGGTCTCCTTAAAGGTTATATTGCAAGCACTTTGCTGCTGGCGCTGCTTGCTGCAAATAATTGCAAGTCTTAACCAAGATGCGGCACGCGGAAAGCATTGTGTTGACATTTCAGCCAGTCAAACAGTCAACCACTCACTGCCTCAGTCAGTCAGTCAGTCAATTTGGGGCCAAGACCAGGTCCAGGAAATGGAATCACTAAGGCAACAGCAGAATCATGTGATTTATTAAAAGCGTTAGCGTGTTACCCTGATGGAATCCAAATGTGATTTGGATTGGTATATGTACTGAGATTAGGTTTAAGGTTCAGATTGGGATTGGGATTGGGTTTGTGGCAGCAATTGGTGTTGTGTGTATGAGTTTTGACTTTGGCTTTTCATATTGCGCAGCAGTCATGATATTTGTGCTGGATGCGCTTCACTGGCTTTTGGCTCGATGCTTATCTCAAATCATTTGTCAGTTGAAACAAAATACGAACAGCCTGGCTGCAAGTCGAGCACAACCAGATAAAACCCTAAGCGTATGAAAAGATTGACTTTCTATAAGCACGCATCAGCGGATACCATCGTCAGTATCTGCATCTCTTTCGAGTTTGTATAGTGTGTGTGTGTGTGTGCGTGTGTGTTTATGTATGTCCTGTATTAACTTTACATATGTGCGTTTGCTTAGACAGACAGCTAAATAGATAGATAGCTGGGCTGGCTGCCATGGGGAGTGGCAGACTTATTTGCATAACAATATGTGTGGTCGGTCGATAGAGCGTGGGGTTTGTGTATATGCCTTATATGGGGTTTGAAATGGGTGCAGCGCGAAGAGAATGGAGTGTTGCCTGTTGATTGTTACCCGCGCTCAAAACTTTAAGCGGCTGCATTAGTACTAACCGTATATATGCATATGTCATTCATCTCTGTCTGCTCATGTTTGTTTGAGAGTGGTAAGGGCAGGGAGTGGGAGAGAGAGGACGGGTAATCGCTGAAGACACATAACTCCACCTCAATTCAATTAAATTTCTGATTATTCAATTTCTGATAATCCATTTAGCTTAATTCCCAACTAGTACATATGTAAAAAGCCTGCCCCTAACTTATATTGTCAATTTAATTGCAAAGGGTAAGAGCCAAGAGAACTTGCACTCTGTGAAGAGAATTGGGTGGAACTGGAACAAAATATGTTGACCATAAAACAAGCAGACTATTTCATTGACTACCACCTTGTTTTATTTAAAGTATCCGAGATTATAGTTTTAGGCAAGTAACATTTATACGGAAATAACAGTTGCCATCAGAGTCTCAAAGATTTCCGCCTGTTACAAACAAATCTAAATGCAAAACTAGCTGATTTTTATGCTGTGATATCGAAGGTTTCATTCACATTTCTCCCATAATCTTAAACCTACAGTCACCAAATTTGGCTGGAAACAGCCTGTTCTGTGGCACCTGTTATTATATGGTATTACTTATTGGTATCAGAGTATTTCGCAGTTGGTTACGCCGGACTGCAACGTTCCTTCTTGTTATTATACTAATTTTAATTAACAAAAAAAGAGCATTGTCGGTATTTTAAATACTTATTGTCTTTAAAAACAATAGCAGTTAATTTTTGCGCAAATTTGAGTACGAAATACACCAATTTCCGCAAATTCCGGAACCGCAATCAAAATTGGAAATTGGCAACAAGACTGCATGCAACCGAATGGCTATTAAGTACACATCAACGGAAATAATTAGATTCAGTAATCACAAAGATTTCCCATCAATTTGCATTGCCAGCGTTGCGGTTACTTTTTCTATAGTCTGCAATTTGTGCAGGAAATGCCATTCAAAACCACAGCATTTGCTGCTCTACGCTCTCTGTATTTTACTTGGATAAAAGATCCGCCTACTTTCTTGCTTGTGCTTTTGTGCTTTTGTTATGGCCAATCAAAGTGAACATTCGCACTCAACGCCAGGACAAACACATGGCATTTGTTTGGACAAAGTACGTCTGTGATTTACTCATTCATTCGAGCTCCATTATGGTATGAGTAGCATGCCGAAGGCATTGCGGTCCGACCGCAGCCTATTCTGCTTGAGATAAGTTAAGTTGCGTGGCCAAGGGAAAAAGTAAGGGCAAGGGATTTCAAGTGGTTCCTTTTGAATTTGTCGATAGTTTTTGGCATCTGTTCAATTTTGGCGACAAGCGAAACTCGGAATACTTCCGAAAGTATATTTCTAAAATGGAAGATAATATCTTTCTAAAACCAGAATTGTCTATGTCTATTTCTAATTTCCAGTGTGTGGATTTTTGTAACTGCAACTGCTAGTCGATATAGCAAATTTAAAAAACTAGAAAACTTAATTAATTGCGCTACAATATATAAAAATAAAACTTTTAAGCTTGACACTTTCAGTTAATATTATCAATGCTCAAAATTATGTTGGACATTTCTTTTTTTTTTTGGTAATAAATATTTATTTTGTTGAGCTGATAACCAAATTAGTTTAATTATCTTTGGGCTCGAATTAATCTGATTGGCATGGAGTCCATTTAAATAAATAATAAGCAAATAAATAAACGTGCTGAGCACTTTCTTTCATCACTCGTCATTCATCGTTAGATTAACAACTTATTCATGAGAACTGGTTATTTGCTTCTAATTACAGCGCCGAAGGGTCAAATCATACGACTGGACTTTCGCAACTCGTTTAATATTGAGGCCAAGGAGGAGTGTAAATTTGATTTTCTTGAAGTAAGTAAGTGTTGCACTATGCCAACAGCAACAACAGTGCAAATCTAGTGGCATTAAAAATACTACTTTGTTGCGGGCAAATGCGAAAGGAACAAAAACAACAACAACAGTAGCAAAAGCCAACTGGCAAAAACTTTTCAAGTTGTTTCTCCTTTCAGCTTACCAGTGTCCAGTAAGGAAACCCTTGGGACTTCTTGCCCCCTGGCAAGTTTTAATTGAAAGCTGACATTATACAGCTCCCTTCTGCCGGTGCTGAACACACGTCGTATGCGCAACGTAATTCAACAGGCAATAGCCAACAAGAAATAAGTTGCAAGAAGTGCCTTCAAAGCTTACACAAGCTGAACCATTCAACTATCCTATACATTTTATCGACACATACAAAAAAGAATATTTGCATATATATATTTATGTACCTATATATATATAGAGAGAGAGAGAGAGAGAAAAGGAGCTAAAGCTCAGCACATTTTCTGCTTCACACTAATTAGAAAATAATTTTAATTAGAGTACGGGTAGTTATGGAAGTTATCTCTTTTATTTTTCATTTAAAAGAGAATGAGTCTAATTACTTGTTGGCCTGTGAACAAACTTAAATTTTTGCAACAGCAAATGGTCAAAATGCTATTCACAACTATGGCCATATCTTTTCTAATTTAACTAAAATATTGGCTAGCAATATGGAACTTTGTAGAGACATTTTGTAGCTAGCAGAACTCACAGCTGTTTTGGGTTAATGGACGGAATCCAGAGACACATAAATTGTTGCTGTCGCTGAATTGTAACCAGCTCAAAGCAACCTTTTTAAATTGCGTGATTTTATTTATTGCTTCCCTGTTTTTTTTTTTTCGCTGATTTTGCTAGATACGCGACGGCCAATATGGTTTCTCGACACTGATTGGTAAATTCTGTGGCACAGATTTCCCACCGGAAATCACCTCGAAGGAACGGTATCTCTGGTTGCATTTCCATTCAGACGACACAATCGAATACACTGGCTTCAGTGCTGTGTACGAGTATCTGGATCGAAATCGGGAAGCGCCCAGCACGGACCTCAACTGCACCATCGAGAAGGATGGCTACGAGGGTTTCATTAACTCCACAGATGTCCCGGCTGACATTAGGGAGCAAGTGATACGTGATAAGATTGCCCTCGACTGCATTTGGCGCATTCAGGTGAAGGATAACTGGAAGGTGAGTGTGCTTCGAACCGGACCCATTTTAACAAACGCAAAATCATTTTTTATTTTCCCACTCTCTCTCTCTCTCCCTCTCTTTCTCTCTTTCTGTCTGCTTGCAGATATTTTTAAAATTTTTGGACTTTCATTTGAGCAAACCGAATGACTGCGAGACGAACTTTCTGGATATATTCCCAGAGCAAACAGTGATGCCATTAAGGTAAGACTTTGAGATGTAGCAACATACATATGTACATATGTATGTTGTGCCACAAAACAAATTTCCGCTCCACGAATGCGTCACAATGTGAAGTCAGCCAAAAAGCTTTAGAACGCTAAAAAGATCAAAGCGTCTTAAGCAAAATTTCAATTTATTAGAGGCCAAAGTAAACTGTATGACAGCGGAAGTTGCGGCGGCAGCCTTTTGACTCGCCCATCTCGAACTGTTTCGGGGCGCGAAGCCAACTCCTCCCATCAGTCCACCCACAACTCGTCCCCTTTCCATCTGTCATTTGCCATGTGCTATTCAAGCACATCCTTCTTTCAACACGCCAACAAATTCCTACTTGTTGCTGCCCGACCATGTCCCATGCCATCCACCTTCCACTCCCAACATCCTAGAATGCTCCTTTTACTCTCGGTTTCAGCCTTTTGGCTTTTGTGCACATTGATGGGAATAACGACATCGACTCCAAGGCTGATGTCGGCAACGGCATCGGCAATGACAGCACCACTCAAAGTGATTGACTGTCCGTCTAGTTGGGGATGCATGTCTAGTCAGTCAGGTCAATTGATTTACTGCTAGTTATACACTTCTGTTACAACATATGTGGGCAAAGTCATGTGTATAGAATTTAATACAGATATTTATACAGCGAGTATGCAGCAGATAATATTGTGTAATTCTAACATCGATTAAGATCAGACATAAAATAATTGCAATTTAAATATGTTTCTGTCTTAAATTTGACATTAACTAACTTTTACTTGAATTCATAGAAAGTTCCAATCATTATTTTGTATTCAGAAAATATTAAATACGAATTTTCTCCTTGCAAGAGTATTTTATGTTCGGCATTGCATATTTAAATAGTTTTCCCACTTTTCACCGCCAGTGGCTTGTGCAATTGTCATGTTTTCAGTTTCAGTTTCAGTTTCTATTTCGATTCACTTTTCGACACAATTTAGCAAACGTGTTGCTCCAGAAACGTTTCCATTCATTTACTCGTGCCAATAAAATGCATTTGAACAGCTTAACTTAACTTGACACTGGCTTTTTATTAAGTAATTTGTGTGAGGGTGCTGAATGTACAGATCTCCGATGCAGATACTAAAATTTGTAACCCCTAACTTTACTCAGAACAGACAAGAAATCAAACAAACATTTTTTATCAGAATTCCCGAGTGTTTTCAGCGAAACTTTCTGATTAGGTTAACCATACTTTGGAGGCCAATAAAGTGTACAAAATATCAAATATATTTGTAGACATCATATTTTTATTAAAGTTTTCTCTTTGGCTTGTTGGCTGTTTGGCAGAGCTAACCCAAAGATCCAAGTCAAACGAAAACCATTTCTATACTCCATACTCATAAAATGTATACGTTGCTTGATTTCTTTTCGGTATTTTTATCTGTTGTTTCTCACTCTGTGCCATTTGTTTGTTTTCATTTTCAGAGTAAAAAACTTTTGCGGCTCGGCCGGCGAGAGCATCACGGCTGAGTCAAACATTCTGCACATGCGATTTTATGCGGAACAAAGTGCGATTAATTCGACATTCGCCATTCTATATACGGCGTTCCGGGACCGTGGATCGGCAGGTAAGTTTACACTACCAGAAATTTGCCGTGTGTTGCATCAGCAGCCAAAAAGAGCACCTGAAAATGGACTGATGCAAGAGCCTGAGAAATCCTGTGCTAAGCTTGGGTTTTCCCAACCCGAAAAAGCACCACAGAATTCGGGCCCGGTAGTCGGCTTTTTGAATGGATTTTTTTGAGCGGCTTGCTTGCAGCCTCTAATTTTTCTTTTTTTGGTGTTGGTTTTTCTTTCCTTTTTGGTTCTGTTTTTGTATTTGTTTTTGGTGTGCCGGCCATTCGACCAACTACTTGCGTATCTGGATGCCTATCCACCGTCTAAATGATTGTCTGCCGCCCAGTTTTGTGTGATTACCGCCTGTTGCCAAGGGCTAAGCATGCCTTTGTCATTCAACGATTGTCCTTTGTTACGACCATTGTTAACTTTGGCTCCAGTGTACTCCGGCGTTTTACAGTTAACAACTCCCAGCCTAGCCAAGACTACCATTTGCTAGGTACAAACCAACAAAACAGGGACTAACTGCGGCATTGAGACTACGTCTCCAACTGAAACTGACTGACTGGGACTGAGTCTGGGTCTGGGGCTGGGGCTGGGGCTGTAGTTTTAGACGAGGCACTGCAATTATTGTTGCTGGAGGACGATTTACGTTGGAGATTACGTTTATTTGTTTTGTGTCTGCTGCTACTGATTGCCATTTCGATACCCTGTAACCATAAACCGGCTAAGCAATGATGGGACCCGTTTGTATCGTTGTCTTGCCATTCATCGCGAAGGAGTTGTGTAGAACACAAGCAGGAACTGTTATCCTTGGCATGCCAAAGATGATATTTCCTTGTAAGCCGAAGATAATCAGCTGACATCTAAACATTAGCCTGGGGCCCGAAATATTCAGTCGTGCTCCAATTTACACAAAACTTTTCAATTTCCGTTCTTGGCTGTTCTTAATCGCCCACCATTTCGACTGCGATGTGAGTTGCAACTCAATTCATTACTACAACTGCTGTTTTAATTGTTGTATCAATAGCGTCCATTCTCGAAATGGAAGGCATTCCCGTTTTCTCTAATTGGAGCATGTCTGATTATCATACTTTTGTACAGCTTAAGAACTCTATGGGTATTTCGATCCCACAGCTTAAGTCGTTCGACAAATTGTTTCCATGACAGCAATATGATCCAATCTGGATGGACGTAGCATCTTTTTCAAAGCATTACTTATTTCATACATATTTTAAAAAGTGAAGTAATATAAAAAAATATACCATAAAATATAAAAAAATAAAAAAATATACCCTCTCAGAATTCGAAATAATCAACCAATGCAAATATTTTTGCATAGGGTATCTCAGAGTGTCAGCTCGTCGAAGGAGTTCATACTTGTTTGATGTGTGGTTGTATGCTTTTGGTCTTAAACTCTTACATTTTTGTTCGTTCTTTTTGTTCAGTTTTGTTATTGTTGTTTTGTTTGGCAAATTAAACTGAGTTTTAACTGCGCCTCTTTGTCTGCCACATACCCAAATAGCCTGCACCGATGATGAGTACGATTGCGAGGACGCGACCTGCATATCAAGAGACTTAAAGTGCAATGAGCGAGACAACTGTAAATTTCGCTGGGACGAAGAGAAGTGCTCGGTAAGTTAGAAACCAACAACAACCAATTTAGCCACCCACACACACACACACACACACATACACCCGTTCACCCATTCACCCATTCACCCAGATGAGCCATACACAAAAAATCATGAGCATCTCTCTGGCATTACGTTGGCCAAACTTCGTGCATGCATCTAATTATAGGCAAACGAATGTGCCGCAAACCCATGACTATCATTATAACTACGTTCAGCTATGGTTGGCAACAGTCACACGTACACACACACACGCACACACACACACGCACACACACACACACGTTGTCTCCCACATTCACAAACACAAAGTTGACCCAATAAATTTTATTACTACAGTCTGAGGTTTGTTTTAGAGGCGTGCCATGTGGGTGCTCTCATCTTTTTTAATTTTCTTTTTTTTTTTGGTGCTTTGCAAATGTGTTAGATGATTAGATTTGATAATCTCTCCACCTAGGAGTCGTCGGCTTAAGTCTCACAGTTCCAGCAAAACACTCTGTTAACCGTACACTGAACTTTTGTGAGCCATTTAAAGTTTGAATCGGTCAAGCCACAAACTGTTCACAATTCTAAATTGAGTGCAACTCTTAAATATTATATATATGGCAAACGAAGTCGAAACGAAACAAACAAAGTCGAAATATAATCAGATATATACTAAGGATAAGCCAATTCAATAATTACGCTAATTGTTTCATTCATTCAAAATCCATAATCCTGTCGCAGTTTGCAATTTGTGAATGACAACGAATGAATTCCAACGATTTCATGCCACTAATTCAATGCTACCATTCAAATACTGAACAAATCGATTTTTCAAAGTCACCAGCTTCATAATTGGTCCCATAGCTAAGTCAAAAGCTCAATCATGCGCATACACAAAATTTTGTTAATTTAATTGGATCATATTTAAATTGGCGCAAAACACTTTGTTAATTGAGTGCATCGAATTTGTTTTGGGAAAGCTACTAAGCCAGCTGCGTGTGTGTATCTATGTATGTGTGTGTGTGTGTGTGTGTGTGTGTGCGTTGAATTGGTATATAAAGGTCGGGGCAAGAGCGACAACTTGTTGAAAATTGCGTGGTTCGTTAATTATTATGCATGATAATACATAATGATACCAAGCAATTTTGATAATAGTTGTGCATCAATCACTGTTGTGGTATGAAGATTTTAAATTAGTCTTATTAAAAATTCATAAATTAGAAAATTCATTTGTTGACATACCCATTTGTCTTCTTTGATGCTGCAAAATGAAGCTCATCCCTTTTGTAATTCGGATTTGTCTGGCTAAGGCAAAACGGATTTGTTTTATATTCGATTTATAGCCGCATGTAAAACATTTTCAGATATATATGAACATATAAAAAGCAACTGATTTGACTGATTTTTAACTTTCTTTTAATATTATATTATTATACTGTTCACAGAATGAAACGACTGGCCAATCTGAGCATGTGGTCATCATAATAATCGTATTTGGATTAATACTTGGCGGCATGGTCATCACATTCATTGTGAACTGCATACGTAAAATAATACGGGATCAGAAGATAATACGCGTAAGTATGGTGTAAATTGCCTGATTGTAATTGAACAGCTATCGATGTGCCAATGAGTGTGCTCTCCCAAATATTCCCCTGTACTCACAACAATATACGAGTAGATAGTATCTGTGTCTGACTTTTGCTATTTTGTCTCTCTAATCTATGTACGATATTTGCCTTGCTCACACACACTCTCCCTCCCTCTCTCTCTCTCTCTCTCTCTCTCTCTCTCTGTCTGTCTCTCTCAGACACTGTGAACTCACTGTCACCCTCTTGCTTGCCCTGCTCGCTCTTTGACCGCTTAAAGTCGAAGAAAATAAAACCACCACAACCCCCCCTCTAACGTGTCTACCCATCGTCACCATTCTTGCATTATGTTGCAAGTTTAGTGCGCGAGTAGTTCTAGAATGCTTAAATCATCCTGCAATTACATTGATTTTGCCAGCTGGCAACGGATATTGGCCAGCCCGTTAATATTGTAGAGGACACACAGACACCACACACACATGCACATAAGCGCACACAAAGCAAATAAGTAGCACAAATTATTATACTCTGATACCAAAGGTATTATTGTTTATTGATTTTGTGCAATGTCCATCATACTATCATGCATCCGTCCGTCTGTCCGTCTGTATGAACGCAACTTTTTTCGACACCCTTAGAGATAGAGGAGTGCTACGTCCATTAGAAGGCTACGATCGATAATCTCAAATCGATAAAGCCACACAAAATATCTACCACAATTTTAAAGATAGAGTCACGAAATGTGGAAGGTAACTTGCTAGTAACCTCCTTCACAGATCGGCCCGAAAAATGTCTGAAAAGCGCATAGATTCCACAATTTGTAAGCTAGAGTCACTAAATTTTGGAAGTATGTTACTGGTAACGCCCTAAGAGATTGATAAAAATTGAATAGCCACGCCCACTCCGCCTCCCCAAGCCGATACACCTGTCTAAATGTTAGTGTAAAATAAAACCATATATCTCACACAATTTGAAATTTGGACTACGCCCACTCCCACAATTTGAAAGCTATAGTTAGAAAACTTGGATGGAAGATTACTAGGAATATGCTCAAATATTTTTAAAGACAAGCCCTCCTCTTCGAATATTATTTCCAGCCAACTTGCAAGATAGATTACTGGCAATCTCCTTCAAAGATCGGTATTTCTTGCCTACATCCACCATCTGTCATCAGATGGTATTACTTATGGTATTTCGCAGTCGGATACGCCCGACTGCTGCGTTCTCACTTGTTACGTTTCTAATTGGAACAATGTTTAGTTTTCCATCTAACTTGATGTGCAAAATGGAGCAAAAAACAAAAACAAAATCTGCTCTACCCAAAAATGCTCGATACTGATTTTTTGTTTATTTTCTTTTTGTGTGAAAACCAACACAAAGAATCAAGGCAGAGTATCTCAAGTGTTTTGCTAGAATATCCAACGAATCCTCTCTTTACAGACAGGCCTTGTCCATCTGGCTGCTGCACACAACTTGATGTTATTAGTTGTGTGGCTTAAGACTTTATAGAGCCAATCTCTTTTGATGCTTTGAGCTTATACATAGTTCAATTAGCATCACTTGACGGCATTCTAGTTACCACCTTGGTAATGGCATTCGTTTTACGAAGTTGCCTGTGATAGATATACTAATTTTCGGACACATCGTGGTCAGCAGCTTACTGGGTCTGCCTCTCCCTCCCTGGGTCTGCCTCTCCCTCCCTCTGTGACATCTCCCGGTGACATCAATGAAGTTGGCTGGCGAAGAGAAGTGTGTGTTGGCACAACTATTGTCCATTGTAAGCTGGCAAACAGACTGAGTGTCCACAGCATGCCACATACATGTGAAAGCATATTGCTTGGTTCTGCTTAAGAAAACAATTCCACGACTGAAATTAAAATATGTGAGGCGACTTTTGTGAAAATACTGTTCATTCTTGAATGGCTATGTTGAGACAATCAAAGGTGAACTTAAGCAGAGTTTCGTGTTCACCTCATCACTGTGGTTCCCGTCCGTTAACGTTTTCGCATTGGCCAATTTGAAGCTGTACTTTGAGTAGTCGGAAGTGCTACTGCCACAGCGACACAATCTGCTTTGCTGTGCTCTGAGGATTCTTTCTCATTCCCATTGTCACGAAACCGACAGAATTCGCTACTGACTATACCCAGTTTAGGTATGTGGTGACAGGCTTCCACTGGCACTGCCCTTTTTGCATTTAGCTGCATCGAGCGAATGCATGTTCAAATCCCATTTCGAACTCAGGGAATCGATCCATTCAATGCCAAGCTTCAGTCACTCAGCAACGCTATCTGAATTCCCCCATTGTCTCGCCTCATTAATTGGTTGGCTTAAGTGGGTAGCTTCCCGTAAAATCCTCTGTGTGTGTGTGTGTATGTGTGTGGGTGACTGAGTGTGGGTGGGTGAGTGTGTGTGTGTTCGTGCACACAAGAACGTAATGAGCTCTTGAAACTGTGTTTCGGTTTTTTTCGGGCTGCCTTTTGTATTTTTGCGCGTAGCAATTCAAAATTAGCAATATCGTTAAAAAGTTTTTTAATTGCAAAGATTATATGGAAACAAGTTTGAAGCACCAACAGTTTTCACAGAAAACGAAGTCTTATCAATTTGACTGAGTTCAAAGTCACTTTAGTGTGTCAGTTTAGTGATACTTGATTTATATAGATTGATACTTATTATGTATGTATGTGAGAGTTCTAAATATACTACAATTTGTACAAAAATATAAGGAAACCTTAGAATACGTTTGGCTTCAAGTTACTGCTCCCATTTGTTGGCTTTGATCTGGTTTATTTATTTAATAATTTTTTTTGCGAATCAATTTTACATATTCCTTCTTACCGGATTACAAGGAAAAAAGAATTTTGATTTCATATTTGCCAGAGACAAGCACATTCGTAAATATTTATTTTTCAGAAGCCATATTACGTATACGGAATATTCATAATCAAATGTTTCTCGCAGAAGCATTTGGCTGGCAACTTAACAGCTGACAAAAATCTGCTTGACAACATATGCATTTGCTTTCAGTTTAGTCTGCACTATCGGTATAACGAAACCGATCTGTATTGTAATCCGAGCTGTCTTCCATATAGTGACATGATAATACAGACTGCATTTACAATTTATGACACTTGACATTTGGGAACACAAATGACGTAACTTCCCGGGGCTCTCTTCATGTGTCCTCCGATTGAGAGCTGGCGGCTGCAGATGCGTGTCTTGTGGTATCTGGGGCAACATTTCATTAGCTGTCGGTATCCTTACATCTCTTCCAATATGTGCTGGCTGTCTTGGCACTCGGCAGCATGGCTGGGAAAACCATTTTATAATCAACGCATTGGCAACGTCAGCCGCCCAGCGGCTCCCTGGGGCCTTACATGCTGACCCAGCTCAAAAGGCGAGACGGACATCGTGATAGAGTGGAAGGGAAAGAGAGACGAATTGAGGGAGAGAGTGAGGCAGATTCAGTTTGACTTTGACTTTTGCAATACTGACATCGATGAGATCCACAACCAGAACAAGAGACACAGCTTAAATTGAATATCGCCCTGCAGACGTGGCCAAAAATATACTGCAACTGTTTCGCAGAAAGTTAATTAAGTGTGTGCTTTTGTGTGTGCGTGTGTATGTGGGCGTGTCAGTAGCTGTGGCATGCCATATTTACAGAGCACGCGACCAGCTGCGCAGATGGCGGCAAATCGCTTGATTAAACCGACGACCCGCCAAACTTCACCCCCCATTTCAAGCAGAGATTTGTGTATCTGGTTGTTTTCTATTTGCTTTTAGCCAAGACGTTTCTGCTTAGGCAGAAATCAAAAAAGATGCAAACAACTTTTACCCGATTTCAGGTAACAAATATAATTTGAGTTGACTAAACTTGCCACACGCTTCATCAATTTTGTGTGTCTGTGCACGCTTGCAGTCAAAGTCTATTTAACATTTCGAAATGTCGCACGCCATTTGAACTACCAGGCTGCCAGCAAGTGGTGAGTGACTAGCAGGAGGCAGAGAGTAGAGAAGGGGAGTGTGAAGTGGGAAGTGGGAAGTGGAGTGTCAACTACCACCACAAGAATTGTAGGCGAAGAGACGACGCATAGTCGTGTGTATTTAATTCCTGTCAGCTACACAAGAAAGGACGACAAGATTCCTTGCACGCAACCAATTGGTGTTTTACTAATGTGCCGCTCCTTTGGTACGCCCACAGTTAATATGGCAGGACCTTAAAGGAACTCTATTCAAGCAAAGGTTCAATTGCCGCGCATATACTCTCAATAGTCAGGCATTTTGGTAACTTGACAACACCAAACAAAGAATTGAATAGGAAACATACCTTGTACTATCAAAGAATATTTTACTTTTAGTCATTTTTGAGTTAGCTTTATGTTATTTTGAAAAGGTTCCAAAGGTAGTGAGTATATTATATAGAACATATACACTCCGCGAAATTCGATTGAACCAGTTTGGGTGTGAAATTCGCTTAAAAACAGTCACTAATAAAGTATACATATTTATTTAATATTTACTCTAACCTGAGGAGATCGCTATAATCCTTGTTTACAAGGATACTGAAATGAACAACAGGCAAATATCAATTAGATTAAGTCGAACGGCATTAGCAATTGACAACATGTTAAAATTAAAAAAACAACAACTATCAATGCAAAAAACCAACTTTAAAAAATTATTGCACAGGCAGAAATCTGCAATCTACGGACTGGACTAGATAAAAATGCTACGGCATCTAAAATCCAATTTGGTTACAAGTATCGAGACATCGTTTCAACAAATTTTATCAAGTTCAAAATGCGAGGTTTTTCTCTACTCGAATCTGTGGTAGTGCTTCACTCCTGATCTGGGCTGCAGTCAGTCAGCACAACAGGATCATTTGTGAAATTGCAGGCCATAGGAAGTTGGAGGGTTATATAAACCTGTTGGACGAAGTTTTGGTGAACTTTATAACAGAATAGTGCTCCAATGCATACGTTGCGAGT